GTGATGTATGTGCATAAATCATTAAAGATGGCAGGACTGCTTGAGAATGCAGTTAATGTTGCATACAGCATCCTGGGTTTTATTAATTGGGGCTTGGAATATGAAAACAGAGGGAGGATTTTGAAGCTGCATAAAACACTGCTTCAGCTTCAAGTGGAGGATTGTGTCAACATTCAGGCAAGATTTGAAGGCATTAGAGAAGGTGCAGAGATCAGTCATAAAAATGTAAAATTACAAGATAATGGTGGATTATGAATTATGGTGGATGACCTTTTTCCCAGGGTGAAAATGTCAAATATTTGGGGTCATAGGTTTTGCTTGAGAGGGGAAAGTTAAAGAAGATGTGTGAGGCAAGTTTTTTATTCAGAGGGTGCCTGGAATGTGGTGCCAGGGGAGGTGGTAGAAGTAGATATGATGGCAATGTTTAAGAGGCATTTAGAGAGACAAATAGTGAATATGGACCATGTGCAAACAGATGGAATTCCTTTAGAATGGCATCATGGTCTGCACAGACATGGTGGGCCTGTTCCTGTGCTACACAGCTCTGTGGTAACGTTTCCAGGGATGAGGAGCCTCAGTTACACGGTTAGATTGGAGAAGCTGGGACTGTTCTCCTTAAAAAAGGCTGAGAGAAGATTTGATCAAGGTGTTCAAAATCTTGAGAGACACAGTAGATAGAGATAAACTGTTCTCATTTGTGGATAGCTCAAGAGAGGGTATGGGGGTACTTTTAACAAAAGAAGCAATGTCGACATGAGGAAAAGCTTTGTCCTTTTGGAAGTGGTTATGATCTGGAATGCACTGCCTAAGAGTGAGTTGGAGGCAGGCCCTATTAAGGCTTTCGAAAGGTGATCCAGCTGTACAATTTCACAACTGTCCAGCTGAGGAGACACATGGATTGTCTCTTGCCTTTTTTTTGCCCTTTGTGGCATACTGACAATGTTTAAATTGTAACCTTGCTTTCAGTGTTACCCAATTGGAGCTCGGATCTACCATCTTCCTCACTAACTCAGGGCTATCAGTCTGTGTTGGCAACCTTGGACAACAGAACCCACCCTTGTCCATTAATGATGCCCCAGCTTCCTCCATCTTAGAACATACCCAGTTTTCTCCTATCTCGGACTGAACCCCTGGATCCAGACACAAACATGCAACACTCTTTAGGCTAAAGCCTCTCTTTGTTCTGCTTTCTGGGAAGAGTGAGTTATTAGGTGCCAACTGCGTTTGATGTTGAATTTCCTCAGAGTCACGGGGACAGAGTTGGAAGGAGTTGGTCCCACTTGTATGAGACACAACCTGACTGTTAGCTTCAAATCAAATACACCTTAATCCTGGCTGCAGAACAACATCTTATATATTATGTAAGAAGATAATAAAAGCATATATTGCAAATGTTGGAAATCTAAAACAGAGACATAGAATGCTAATGAAACTCAGCAGGTTTGGCAGAATCTGAGGAGAAAAAAATGCAGTTAACATTTTGAATCTTCAGAACTGAAAGGCATTGGAAAATAGTTTCATTTTTACACGTTTGACAAGGCAGAGGGGGAGCAAGAAGGCAGGTGGTAGAGATGCAGTGCAAAAGACAAAGCGGTTGTTAATGGAAGTAAAAAGAAATGTAAAAAGGGCGTAAATTAAGGAGAGGGAATTGATCCTCTCTACTATAAACCTTGATGTATCAACCATATACAGAATGATCCAACAATAGATAAAGCCTATTCTTCAAAGAGTCATAATAATAGATAGCTACAGCACAGAAAAAAAAGGCCTTTCTGTGCGTCCACACTGGTCATAAACAACCATTTAACTGTTTGAATCCTGTTTTCCAGCACTTGGCCCATATCCTTGTATGACTTGGCATCACAAGTGCACATCTAAATCCTTCTTCAATGTTATGAGGGCTTCTGCCTCTACCACCCTCACAGGCAGTGAGTTTCAGATTCGCACCACCCTCTGTGTGAAAAGATCTTTCCTTACATCTCCTTTAACCTCCTGCCCCTTACCTTAAATCTATGTCCCCGGTCATGATCCCGCCATCAATGGGAGAAGTTTCTCCCTGTCTACACTTTCTATTTTATACAACTCAATCATGTCCTCCCCCCTTCTGCTCTAAGAAAAACAACTCCAGTCTATCCAATCTCTACTCATAACTGGAACTCTCCAGCCCACGCAACATCCTTGTAAATCTCCTCTACTCCTTCTCCAATGCAATCACATCCCTCCTGTAATGTGGTTTCCAGAATTGCACATAATATTCTAGCTGTGGTATAACCAGTGTTTTATACAGTCCCAGCATAACCTCCCTGCTCTTAAACTCTACATCTTGGCTAATAAAGACTTGCACACTAAGGTCCCTCTGATCCTCAGTGCATTCCAGGATCCTAGTGTTCATCATGGAATCCCTTGCTTTATTTGTTTTGACCAAGTTTATCACTAAGAGATTAAGAATAGTTAAGTCAGGAAGTCTTGTTTGAGTTATGTAGCTTAGGGGAAAATAACTACAACTCTTTACATAATTAGCTTGTCTTCAGAAAAGGTAGCAATAGACATAGCTTTAGGGCTTGAGTCACATGTACCTTTGATGCAGGCAATATTTAACATATAAAGGAGCATTGTTTTCAACAGTTTGTTATTATTTTTACTTTTTAGCAAATGAAGAGGTCTAGAGCCAAATCACAGCCTCCCCATTTGCTGAGTTTAAGATGATGAGTCTCAGAATGTGGAGGGCTGCTGTAAGTTTATTGATGATCTGGAAATAAACAAATGCAAACAGCTAAATTCTGATCCTGGATTAGGTTTCATCCTCGATATCAATAAAATTTGTTCCAGCTCATACTTAGGTGAAATCAATACAATGTTCCTTCCTTAAATCTAAACTTCCATCACTCTAAGAGTTGTCCTGCAATAACGTGTTGCTAACAACAGGTTTATTGTGATTGTATCACAGTCACTGTTGGAAATTATTGTGGTTGGAACAGTTTGTTCTTAGCCTGATTTGTCACAGTTATCTTCACAATTGGCCGTGAATTTTATGTAAATTCTTCACTCCACAGATATAATACAGTGCTGGTTACTTGATGTGTCTACGATGGGTTAACTAGAGATGGACTCGGCTGTACTTGTAGAGCTACACTATGATATAAGAACGACATTCTAGAACTGTAACCAAATTATCAAACTGTTCAATATTCATAATGTCATCCAATCTCTTGATTGGGATACTAATACATTCCAACTAAACTGATTACCAGTTTTTATTTCTTTCCATTTGTCTGCTTGTATTCTGTCCTTCCCTGTCAATCGCTGTCTGTCTGGCTACCTCACCGTCTGTCTGGCTACCGTCTGTCTCTCTGTCTCACTGTCTTCCTGGGTAGCTCACTGTCTGTCTGGCTCACTGTCTTCCTGGGTAGCTCTCTGTCTCTCTGGCTCACTGTCTGTCTCTCTGGCTCACTGTCTTCCTGGGTAGCTCACTGTCTGTCTGGCTCACTGTCTGTCTGTCTGACTGTCTGTCTGGCCAGTCTGCCCTCTTTCCTGTACCACATACAGAATCTATGCTGCCTCTGTTGGTGTGGTGCTGGGGTAGTGCTGCACTGTCTGAGGTGCTCCCTTTTCGATTTCAGGTCAAACTGAGGACCTAGCTGACCTCCCAGGGGGGTACAAGAACAAATAAAAAAAAATTCCCTGGCACTACCAGGACAAATTTACCTCCGGTGTTAATATTTATCCTAAAACCGACATCACTGGAACAGACATTGTGGTCATTCGTGATCGCATGCTGCTTATGGGATCGTGCTGTGCACACCCTGGCAGCTCTGTTGCGTACATCAGTAAGTGCACGCTAAATGCTTCCTTGCTTGTAAAGTAGTTTGGGACAAAGCTGAGGGTGTGCCGAATGATGTAGAGATGGGATTTTCTTTCTCTCTCTGAGGTTCCCAGTCTACAGCTTTACCCACACCCTCCTGAAGCCCCCCCCCCCCC